TATATATATATATATATATATATATATATATATATATATATATATATAAAATAGCAAGGGAGTATTTTTGAAAGTATGAAATGTTGGACAGGAAAAACACTGACAGAAGGGAAGTTATGTATTGTCAAGAAGCAAAAGAAGTGAGAAAATTATTCAGGAAAATAAAGAGAAAAAGAAGTATAACAAAATTTGTGCGCAAAAAATGTAAACATAGAGATAAAAGAGGATGATTGTTTGATGAGTATTGATCAGGATATACTTCCTTTCTAGCTTATCAGTGGATGCTTCCTGAATGAATATCATCAGCCTTTTATGGAAATCAGTTTTCAGTACAAAGGAAAATTTCTAAAACGAAACGAGGGGAAGTATGGGATAAAGGCCTCAAGCATGGAATGCGGGGAGATTCGTTTGATCGCCAGGTGTTTAAACATTTCTGTTGGAATAAATAACCGAATCAGTTTTTCAGCTCCAAAAAAAGTTATTTTGATTAAATGACAAATTTTCCTGAAAGAAACCAATCTTAACGCACTAATTACTCAAAATATGTAGTTATTTAATTTACTCTTCCATGTTCCTACATCAGTATAACAGGTAATAGATAATGGACTTGAATTGGTAATTCGGATTCGAATCCTACTTGTTTGATGAGTGTAATCGTTCATTAAGTAATCATTAAGAACTGAAAGGAGTTCAACACTCAAAATTTTTTTTTTGGTAGAATATTATTTAAAATTTAAATCAACAAATCCAGTACTAAATAAGTCGATTGATGGAGAGGTATATCTTCAATTGATCTCTCAGTAATTCACAATTTGCGCTTATTCCCTATTGCAACCTTTTAAAAGAAAATGAAACGAACGGGTGACAGCAAAATGATTTCACTCCTTTTAATGCGTTATATCTTTTCAGAATGTGCATTGATACCTCTGGACAGTTTAGCAAGCATTACTTCGACTACCAATACTTTCACTACCACCAACTTCTCTTTTAATCTCTGTAAAACATAGTCGTTTCTGTTGTCATCATTCGTTACATAATAACTCTTGCAATGGGACCATCGAGAAATCATTTTCAGTACCGATGAATTCTGAGACGCTAACTTGGAATTACAACTGTGCAAGAGACAACAAAAAATCAAGAGTACTGTCATCCACAGGGATCTATTGTTTTAAAATTTTCCTATTTTAGAAGAAATGCTATTACTCAATGGTGATGTAAAAAGCAATTCATATTTGAAGTATTCTCATTCGGAAAAGAACCTCTGGAGGAAAACTGAAGAAGAAAGAGAAGAAACGAATCTCAACGATGTTTTTCAGAAAAACACAAAATTAGTGATCGGATGACTCGTTCCCTACTCATTCTTCTTCACTTTACCACGCAGCGAGGATATATCTATATCTGAGGATATATCGAAATGAAAAGAAAACATATTCTAGGTCATTCTCCTGCTCACCTCCATGTTTCGCAACTGTTTCTTATTTACCAACTCTAAAAGGGAAGAAGGAACTTTCTAGCATTTATGTATATTGTTAGAGTGTACTAGCCTAAAATACGTCTTCCGGAAACCATATCTAAGCTAGCATATAAACATCACATTTCGTCCAATGAACGAACTTTTCAGCTTAACTTTGAGCATGTGACAACTTTCAGATGCCTCATAGAAAACAGGAACTGGAAGAGTGGCAACTTTTTTCAGTTAGTTTTTCTAAAGTCCTGAATTAATTGAGTGATTCTCCAATAAAGACTCCTTTAATGTTTCTATGCTAACGACATTAAGAATTTATCATATGTCCGAAACAACAAGTTACCCTTTCGTAGATAGACAGAAAGTAGACAGATATTGACTCATTGTTTTTCAAATTTCAAGAAAGTGCACGACAATTACAAGGATGAAAGATGAGGACAGGGAAGCATAAGGACAAACAAACAAACAATCAAAAGTCAGCAACAAGCGCTCATAAACAGGCAATCCTTTACGTCAACGACGCCATCTGTTGCCTACATATGCACTCTGCGGGCAGTGAAAAACGTCGATAAGAATGAAATTTCGATGAATGCCTTGCCTCCTTTCATTTCTCATTTGGTCTTTCGTAGTGCAAGCAGATCGCTAGTGCGGTATGACAGGGGAAAGGTCAAAGAATACTTTTTTTAAGATCAGTTATTTTCATTTCTACAAGATAATTCTTATCATAATCTTCACAAGTAGGGTAAAATTTTCGAACCATTTCAAAATTTCCTTTCTAACTTGTTGCAGTTTATTCATTTATTTACTTTTTTTTTTTTGACGTGGGCATTCAATTGAAGAGACGCGTTTGCTGATAGGTACATAAAGAACGAACGTCCTTGCTGTATGTAGGCCCTTATGTAATTGGTTTTTTTTCTTTTTTTTTTTTTTGCATGGTATGAGAAGAATCGGTGTGCGAATTATCAGTGAAAAAGTCAACTTCCCTATCTCTGCAATCCAAAGATAATGAATCCTAAGCCTTCCGCTTGCAAACCATATAATAAGTTCACAACTATTACCGGTAGTAGATAAATCACTGACCCAAAATTTTACAACTTCAAGCTGCAAGGTCGTTAAATCAATGAAAGTGACACTTACAGGGTGGATGTATCATCGATTTCCAATTATATAAAAGAGCACAACAACTCGTCCCCCTCCGCTTAGGCTATCAGCTGCCATGCACAATAGACCTCTCTACTATCTTTGTATTTCTGCTCAGTGTCAAATTTTTAATGAAACATGAAGATCCAACATAATTTCAAAGCTTCACATATCTTTCATGATGTAAAAGGTCAAAACATTCGAGAATTATTCAGCGCAATTAATTATAACGATATATATATGAAGCAACAGAGGAGCTGAATCTCGATCATATTTTCACCTGCTTGCATATATTTCTCGTAAAATAATAATAATAATGGCAACAACGATCAGAGGAGTAATGATGATCAATGCATCAGTGATGTCGGGGATTACTGAACAGAAAGAATTACGAGATTAAAGAGGTACTTTCTCCAAGAAGAATAGAACCAAAGTAAGAGAGCCAAGGCCTAAGGTGATGAAGATTATAATCTTCGGGATCTACTTGCCTGAGTCGGGACTCTTCGGAAGTTGCTGAAGGTAAAACAAATTGTCTTGAATCGAAATATCATATTTTGTCGCATTTAAATCAGAAATCTTTTGAATAACACACAAAAGAACTACTTATGTCAACGTTGTGCATCTATTCTTAAGAGTAGAATTTTCTTCTTTCTATACCTTATTTCAACCTCACAAAGAGCAATGTGAAAGTCGGAAACATTCATAACTAAAATTAGAAAAAGACTCTAAGGGAAGAATGCCAGATATAATATCATGCCGCTGATAAGAAATACGAATATCACTTATTACTGAAAACTATATGGAGATGAACTCTTATCAAGGTTATCATGTGAAGTAGAATAATGTAATGGATCAGTGTAATTCGACAAAAGTGACTTCAAACAACCTCCATAAATTTTCTTGAAATTAGTCATTCAAGCCGTGCAACGCGTCATCAATGACCACAGAAGTATAATATGAAAATTATTTGCGATGGGGTTTCAGAAGGGTAGCAAATAACTCCCGCTGGAATCTAGCAACCTCACTTAATTCCACATATCGTTACCTGCCACTGCCGATTTCATATTTTAAATCGGAAATATGAAAAACTGTTGAACTTAATTAAACATATAATTCCTATTTCTTTTTGTTTACATACAAAAATGTTGTGAAGGCGAAAACAAACGCCTTTGCGGATAAAAAATCATCTGAAACCTGAATTCGATGCTAAAACAATAAAATCAACTGGCATAAAAATTCAGAATCCATTTGAAAGATGATAAAGGCCAACAAGAAAGAGAGAAAGAGAAAAGAATGGATGAGCATTCCAATAAGTTTTTGGATACTTGCCGGATCAATGAAAGGAGAGCAAATGCAATCGTTTGAGTGTCATGGTAAGCAGTAACCAACAATCGATTTCTTTTACTTCAAAGCCGCTTGCTATTATAGGACTAGCCTTAAGGCCACTATAGTTAGGCTCTAGAGTTGTCTCTTCATCTCTCCCTCGTCGATCTTATTTATACTGAGACAGATTCTGAACGAGAACGACACGATAATGCAGGGAAAGTTCCTCGATATCAAATGACATCTTTTCTTTCATTTCCAAGTAACAGAAACACTGAACTGGCAAAAGCACTGACGGAAAGACCGAGCAGATCATAAGTTTTATTCTCGACTCCTTACACAAGATGAATAACGGTAGCATACTCCCAATGATTCCTACTTACCTTGAAGTTTCTGAGCTGATAAGTAACAACTTTGACCCCTTTACCTTTTTATCATCCTCGGGACTTGATTAAAACCCTTGTTTAGATTCACTTATCATCCTTCTAGCTATAAAATCCTTACCGCAGTAGAAAAATAAGGATTGCTAATCTGATGAACCATTAGCACCGCTTTCGTCTTGTTTATAATGAATGGGGACCTGAATCCCCGAAAGTCAGTAAGGGGCAATTAATCATGATGTTCGTCATGCGGTCTGTCATGATCAACTAACACATTCATGTCTATTGTACATTTGTTGATAACCTTACCACAGTTCATATAGCAGAATTACTGTATCTAGTATTTCCATACATCAAGCTGAACACAAATGTATGCAATATTTTGATAATATGATATGTATATAATCTTTGAAATATCTTTATTTCAAATAATAGTTCAGATTTGAGATAAAGGTCCATAGCTTACGTTACTTTGGCGCTTTAGAGGTGATCAGCTTGATCGCAGCCCTAGCTAAGACCATCACTGCTCAATACAAGGTTCCAGTTGTAATAGTTAGTTTTCCAATCGAACACTTAATAGTTAGCGCACAGTGAAATTTACATTAGTTTATGGAAAATTTGACATAAGTCAATATTTCACGACGAAAAATCTCCAACAAAAAAAATTCAAGAATTCAAGTATAGGAAGCCTACGAATAATAATGCGTGTACGATGCTGAAAGACATGCCGTATGCAAATTAAAAGATTACAGTAGAAGAGATAGGCAAACCGCTAGAGAAAATACCAATGAATTTATTGGAACTGTTGTGCGCAAGTTATTCACATTGTATTCGTTTCTTTTCTTTTTTTTTTTGACATATAAAATTACGGGAGATAATTTGTTACTAATAAAGTAACAAATTATGTCTATTTTGGATAATTTTCAATGAGCATAGCGACTCCATGTCCACCAGCGGCGCATGCAGCTACAATTCCCAAATGTTCTGCAATAAAAAACTAAAGAATTTATACTGCAATGTATAATACCGAAATTTATCTTTAATCAGTCTTATTCATCAGTTTCGTGTATTAACTTCCGCATAATTTTCAATCACTACCAGTGGGAACATTTTGTGAACGTCGTATAAAAAGTGTCATTTCATGTACTTTTTCCCTAAAAGCTAGGATCTGAATACAGAGTTTCATTCCGAAGTGACGCGACTAAGCATCAAATCTAGCCCTACAGAATCCCTGAAAGAGATTTATAAGCAGGAATCAAGCTTTCGACAAGTTTGTGTTATTAATTTCCATGATTTACAATTTATTTAAATCAAATTTTAAAAAATAAGAAATCATGCTTTGTTCATGTTGCAATCGATTTGCTGCATGAGATACTAATCGTATGCCTGTTGCACCAAATGGGTGTCCAAGTGAAAGACTACCACCCCATGTATTCAACTTCTCTTCCGGTATACGTCCACATTTTGTTGGTCGTTTCAACATTTCCTGAAAAATTCTTTCAATAAGATAAAGTAGAAGAAAACAAGGCAATTAAATAAAATCAGTAAGAAAAATTTCAAAATTAAATGCGAGTGAAACAATACCTTACAAAAATAATCCGAATCCATGGCATTCAAATTGGCTAGAATTTGTGCAGCAAAAGCTTCATGGATTTCGAAAACATCGATATCTTTTAATGTTAGTCCAACCTGAATTCAGATTACTAAACTGTAAAAAAAGGAAAGTAAAATTCAGTCAGGAATGGTAAAGTTCAGAGATGTGAAGTTAAAATGTATACCTTATCCATCAGCTTCGGAATCGCATAGGCAGGTGAGAGAAGAAGTTGGTCGGTTGGGTCTTGTGCTACGTACTGATAATCCCTCAAGTAGACCTTTGGTTTGTAACCTTCCTTTAACGCGTAATCTTCCGTCATTATTAGTGAAGCAGATGCACCATCTGTCAGGAATGAAGAATTGCCTACAAATTTATGTGGAGTTAGAAAAAATCATATAATGGAATCATTGATATCAATGCAACATCTGATATTGATTATTTATTCGTTGCTGGGTTGCACTTTGCTTTAAATTTGCAGCTATCAAAGTAGAAGACCAATAAGATCTATGGACAAAAAAAAAAGGAAACAAAGTGAGTGCAGTCCAAATATTAATTGCTTTTTCCTACCTTCCACCCACACTACCATATTAAGTGAACTAGCAACCCATTAAATTTTGGCTGTATTAAAGCAACAGATTTTGTTAAAGATATAATATTGAAAAGACAAATTATGGCAATTGATGTGACACGAAAAAATAAAAAAAAGTAGACTTTTTGATATTGCAACATCATATGAAGAGGTTAACCTAAGAAACAAAAAGAAACATGCTGTTCCTGTGATACGCCTCGTCTAAGTCGTGTTTCTGTCCGGTTACAACTTAATCTCTCTGACGCTTGATCACCCCAATAAAAGACACAGAGTATCAGGAGACTTATATCCTTCATCCGTTAACTCTCATTACAGAATTTATTTGCTGTCCAATTCTACATCTCTCAAACTTGAACATTTTTTTGAATTCGCTAGCAAACCTACCAGCAGTAACTGTTCCATGAGATTTTACAAAAGCTGGCTTCAGCTGTGATAATTTTTCCATTGACGAAACACGGATACCATTATCTTTTCGAACAATCAATGGCTTGTTACCGGGTACAAAAATCGGTATAACGTCAGAGAGAAGGTTCTCTTTTGAGGCACGATCAGCAAGCATATGTGAACGAATGGTAAATTCATCTTGTTCACTGAAATTTAAGATGAAAAGGTATATAAATATCTCAAAAGCTTAATCATTTTGGCATGCTTATCCTGACAAAGCAGAGTTAGTTATAACCGTGACTCAATACTTACACATCAAATTTAATTAAAACATTTCATTACAAATACCCGTCTTACAGCTCCCATCAGTCGTTTGCTACACAATACTTCACCACCAAAAATGAGAATTTACCCGTCAATTTTGCCTACTTATTTAAATTATCTGGACTAAAATACAACTATCAACCGTCTAGATACACCAAATGAGGCCGCCAGTCGATCACTGCTATGTCCCATTGTTTCACCAGTTGTAAATTCAGCAACAGCTGGTAATTCTGGTGAGAAGAAATTTACTGCTATTTTTCTTATTGTTGTCAACTTGTCAGAAAGCTTCTTTGCTTTACCTAGAGAAAGCATTGCTGAGCGTGCCTGAAAAGCAAGTAAGATCCTAGTTAAAAAGAAATTCCCTTAAGATAAAAAAAATTGCTGCAATTTGCTGGATTACAAAAAAAAAAATGCTGGATTAAACAATTAAATCCGTAAGTAAAAAAGTATAAGTAACAAGAACAAGTAAAGAAAGCACACTTTCCGATTATATCGAATTGGGACATCAGAAAGTAATTCAACACCACCAGCTATACCTGCATTACAGTAACCTGTAGCGAGCATATTCATGACATCAGTTATTGCAACATTTGACGAAATGCAAGCCAGTGTAACCGTATGAGCTGGTATCTAAATTCATTCAAAAATCAAGTCTGCTCAAGACAAAATAAAAAAGATAAAGATGTAGCAACGGCGTCGAAATAACTTCATTATTCTGAGGAAAAAACAAATAGGGAGGAAATAAAAACAGCTGGAAACCACGATGAAATAGGAAAGTTAAAGTTCGCAATATGCACTAAGCTTCATGAACCATACCTTTTTAGAAAATCCAGCCGTTAATGCAGCTTCCCGTGCCACATTACTCGTTTTACATTCCTGTATCACAGTACCACAAACAATGTGCCCAACTTCCTGCATATTCACTTTCGTCCGATCCACTAATGCTGCAGTCAATAAAGTTTTTCCGAAATACAAAACACTTTCAGACTGAGGAAGAATGCCTTTGCTCACTGTCACATATAATTATCTTTTTCACATACGTGATGTGAAATGGTTAAAATAGGTCCTTGTAGGCAGTTCAAAGACTCAACACCATCGAACTGATCAGAGACATTTTTCTCGAGAGATATGCAAAAAGCAAGTGGTGCTTTTTTAAAATCTATTTCGAGTCCTTATCAAGTCTCTAAAGAAGCCCAAGCAAACTTTTTTTCAGAATGTGATAAAGGCTTCCCATTTGATAGCAAAATTAATGGAAGAAAGGAATACCTAAAAGTGCAGCTCGCTGCAAATCCATAGCCATCATGTCCTTGAACATTGTCCGTGATTGTAGAAATGGCGTACGTACCGCATCCACAAGAACAATATTCGGTCGGTCGGGTTTGGAAAACATTTTCTTGGATGTTATAGGTGCTGTTGAGCTCAAGAAACAACATGATATCGTGTAGAACGATCTAATTCGACACAAATCTTCAGGAATTACAGATAACAAACAGCGGGACATCTGCTTAAATTCTGCAACAATGTTGACATCGCTCAATAGAGAAAAAGAACTGAACTACTTTCAAACAGTAAAATTAAGGTAATCATGCGCAGCATAACACTTGCTCACATCCCTTCCGTGCCGATATGTGTCGATTTATTCAAATTTCAGGATATCTTTTATGTAAAGACCACTTGTGGTTAAAATGAAGATAAATTCTTGCTATGCAATCCATATAGACCAAAACTAAGTTTAGCCGCAACACTCAGTGGAAAAAGACCACATCACTGGCTCATCCACAGGGTCATTAGAATTGAGCTTTCATATCCTTATCAGTCCGAGAGATTCTGAAACCGAATAACCCAATCAGATCCTTTTTCCTGGATGTTACAGGTCCTGTTAAGCTCAAAAAACATCATACCGTGTAGAAAGGTTCAGAATCCAATTTGTATAACGTTCAAGTAAACTCGAACTGCCTACAGCAATCAGAAGATATGCGCAACTAACATTAAAACTACTGTTCGGTATACTTTGGACTTTGTACCATTCGAAAAAGAATTTCGACCGAATTTTCGAACAGATGAAACAACTTAACGTAATCTTGAGTCAAAAGAAGCGTGCTATGAGCTTGACAAAAAAAGTCGAGCTTGACAACAGAATCTGTTGTCAAGCTCGACATTCTTTAAAATTTTAAGACTCGACCTTGAGTCTTGAGTTTACCTAAACTTCAAACTAAAACGAGTCAAAACTTCACGATCTCCACGTTTATGAATATCCAGAAGATTCCTTATGAGGGAATTCTCCATGACTACGAGTAGTGAAATCGAGGAATGAACTGTTTACAGAAGACTTATCTCGGTACTTACGGCGGTAAATGGTCGCATGATCATAATCCCTCGAACGTTAAAAACCACTCAAGCATCGTGAACCGTTCGTTTCAACTAATTTTCTTCGTTGACCGTGCTTCACGGACAGTTTCAATGATTTCAAACTAATCACAAGGTTCCTATTCTTTTGCTATTAGTCTTGCTTTTATTTAACTTCAGTTCTTATACGCATTTTTTCCAGTGGTTTCTTTGAATTTAGAATGCAACACAAACCATCAACATATCCAAGATAACTGATTATCGTACTTCACATATAATGGAAAGCTTATAAACGGAACCGTCCAATACCACCCCTCGATAGGTTTTTGATAGAATTTGGACAGAATTCTTCTAAATTCCAGAGAATTGCTAAAAAACATAATCTTTCAATGTGATGTTGAGAAATTTCTGGTTTTTACCATTATAAAATACACTTTTCTTCCGACAGTTCCAATGATTTCACGCTAATCACAAGATTTCTATTCTTTTGCTATTAGTCTTGAATCAAGAAAAAGGAACTGGCTTAACCACGCACTGTGATTAAGAGATTCGTGAGATCAAGGTTCATCAATATTCAGATCGGCTTTACTCCACAATTTCATTACTGACCAAATCGAAAATTTTATTATGCACTCGTTTTTATACTGGAGCAGTAGAAAATCTACCAGTAATGATCACATTTTGAACGAATGCAAACATTCGCAGCTTTTTTCTAAGTCATTTCAACATCCGTTGGGATAATAACATGTGCAGGGAAGTTTTTTGGTCGCTGATCCAACATCTTCCTGAAAAAATACCACGAAAACAAATACCTGAAAATTTATACAAAGTTTCAAACTAAATTTAAAGATTTCTTAAAATCTAAAAAGAACTAAAACTAAACTAAAAGTCCCAAAATTCGACGTATCTAAGGTGAAATTTTGAACAAATTAGCAAACTTCGCTGCGTGCGATCAGTTCCAATGCATCAGATATTAAAATGATTAAGAATATAAGCGTACGTTTGACATTCCACTTCTTTCATTACGCTATTAAGGTAAATGAAGCGAACTCATAAACCGTACGCCAATTGAAACAATAAAAAGAATGTGGGCGATTTGCGAACCTTCCACAGTCTTCCTGAGATCCACGTTTCGTACGCTTCCTCTTCAGCGTTTCCAATGCTTTTTGTTGAGCTTGCTTTTCATCAGAGTCCCCTTCTAGATCAGCTTTCGTCACTAGGAATTTTTCGAATAACTGCAAAAACTGTTCATTTGAACTGGTATAGAAATGAATGGAAACAAAAAAAGTCATGAAAATCTCCAAAAATTTTAAACTGTTTCGAAAACGAACTCCAGTCATAACAGTTGGAGTCCTAATGCACGATGCTAAGAAGTTGACATGTGTCCCCAAAAAATGCATGAGATGATGAAGTCCTTGCTCCAGCACCTGGAAAGTATTGCAGTATTAAGAACTTTACACGACTAAAGGTTAGTATTAATTACAAAGCAATATTTCTGAAGGGAGATTAGAAAAAAAGATGGCATAATCCGGAACGCGAACAGCCTGGATAGCACGCAGATTAAATGAAATGACTCAGGCATTATGAACTTTTTTAGAAGGAAAGTTAATTGCCATATTCAACTTACAATCAGTCTAAGGTCAAGAAACCTGCGAAACTGAATGACTTATGCTCATTATCAAACAGCCTTGCAGCCTACTGAGGCGACCAATCAAATTTTTTAAAATGTGGAAGAAGCAAAATTTTACACAAGTTTATTACTGATAAAAAAGTACTATTAAAAGAATTTATCGAAAAATCAGCCCCTTGTAAAGATCGGAAGCAGATTATTTAAACTAGAATGTAAAGTGATACAATAAGCAAAAATGATAAAGGGGAGAAAAGGAGACAGATAAAAAGTAATGATAAAACAAGATGCGAATTCTTGGTCTCATACTTGTTGACCACTGGGATACGAAGTGCTTTTTGGAAAAAATACAGTCAACCATCTTGCTTTAACCATCTTTAAAATAGTAAAAACTTGTAATACCTTATTATGTGGATCCACACTAAGTGATTTATGAAAATAGTGAACAGCTCGATCAATGTCTCCAGCTCGGCCTGCTGCTATTGCCAGTCCGGCACTTGGACCTAGCTTCCCCGGACACATTAGAAGTGCTTTCCTTGATTTAAAAAAAGAAAGTGAATCTTGGAGAAGGTTCGGAAACAAACATGCAACACTTCCAGACAACTTACTGATGAAACTTGACGGCTTCTTCGTAAGATCCGAGTTTGCACTTTACATGTCCCAGATTATTTACCAGCGGTTCCCAAAATTCGCTCAACGGTCGATTTAACAAGTCACATAAAGCATTTTCATTTGTCTCGTTGTATGCTAACAGCAGAGCTTTGGTGAAAAAAGTTTCAGCATCTGAAATGGATTTGGCACTTACCAGGACTGTAAAATACAATTCTTTCATTTATCACATAAGCAGCATTTATTCCCCTTCCATTATTTTAAGGTCTGTTTTATTTGAATTTAGTGAAACGTAACACAAAATGTTCCTCACTTACTTAAAACTTTCGGTATACATATTCCACAAGCTTCGACATTACCAGTCGTTTTACATATATATCGCAATAGGAGCTCAGGCAAAATTTGCCAGTGATTCAAGTATAATGAATGATACAACAGTCTATTTTGCCTCTATTGCTCTACCTCTAACCCCAGACTTACTACTACATGGATGATATAGAATATGAGCAAATAGTGGCTTAAATCAGGAAGCAAGAACAAGTGCCTGATACTCTCTGCTTGAAATGCAAAACAAAGACCACTTTTTGTACAACAAAGAAACATAACTACTACCATGGTCTGTAATTAAAAACTAAATTGTCGAAGAACTTCAAAGAGTAAAACATTTTCCAAAAACTCAGTTATTCTGAAACTACAGAGATTGAAAACATACTTCTCCATTCTTTTTCCATGTAGCAAATGCAACCTTGCTCATGTAACACAAGCGCATTATCACCAGCTATTTCAGCTGCATCCTTCAAAAAATCTTGCGCCAATTTTGTATTATTTGCATAGGCATATTCCAGTCCTATGTACAGCAAAGGTTCGAAGCTACCTTCCAGTACTCGCGATGCCTGCAACATGACGATTTTATGTTGTCAAGATTTATTTTATGTTGAATTCAACTACTTAATCATAATAATTTCTAGTGTGGGATTTAACTATAGATCAAAAAATGGATTTTCATATCTCGCACGAGAAGTTAAAAAGTTAGGTATGATGAAACAACATTACTCTAATTTTTATTTAACTTTACTTATTAAATAGAATTTATATTTACATTTGAAAAAGGAGTGATATGAAATAACGAAAGACTATAAAAATGAAGAGTCACAATGCAAAAATATTTATGAGCAAACACGTTACACTTAATTACGTATTCCTTGAACTCTTCAGAATCCACTTCAAATAACTAACTCTCAAATAGCAATTCATCGCTTGTTCGTGCTCTGATTCTGCAGTAAGCGCATGTCCAAATGCTAACCAACCTTCACCGAACGCACAGTTCATCGACGTACATTTATCTGAATCAATTTCGATTCTTTAGCATCGCTTCCTTTGTGGATAAAAACATGTTTTTTTAGTATTCTAAAAAATTCCGTAGAGTGTATGAAAAAATCTAAACTGAGCCTAACATCTGGAAAGAATATTAACTATAATAAATCCATAAAATTAGTACTGTCTCGATATTTCTCATTCAAAATTCAATTGCTAGCAAAAGGAATTATACAATTTAAAAAAAAACCTAGTAAAATTCAAAGCTTACTTAGAAAATTTTTTGCTGCGCCCAGCTGTCCAATAGAATAGTAATAGCAACCAACGGCATACCAGCTAATTTCATTATCTGGTTGACTATCGACCAGCTTATGCGCTAATATAAAGAGACTTTCGAATTTTCGCAACTGTACCAAGGTTGCGATATGAATTAACAAACAATCCTAAAGCTAGAAATCATATATGGGCAACGATGAACAAACGCATCGCATCGCAGCAAAGTAGGAGCAAAACAATATCCTAAGGAAAAATAGTATCGATTTCAAAACATTTTATGACACGGCATATAATTATTGCTGATTCAATAGAAAGTTTTACTAAGTCAATAATGAAGAGGAATTACAAGAAAATGAGAATGTGAACAAATGGGATAAAATTAAGTTGCAGTTACTGGTAATTCATCATTTATTAGTAATTCTATATTAATCTGGAGTAACTTATCACATTAATTTAATAAGCATGTTTAGTTTTAGAAATTCTTAAGTAAAAAATTGAAACCTGAAACATGCCAGCCTCATTTAAAATTTCATTCGTGATATTATAAGCTCCGGTGAGATCCCCAATTTGGTATAAATGTGCAGCTCGTGCAGTAAGAATTGATAAATCCGTCACCAAAGCTTCATTTACTGAGGCATCAGAATCCAGCTGAAAGAAAAAAAGAATTTAGTTACAAATAATGGAAAAGAAAGTGAAGTAAAACAAAAAGGTTCGCAGTAACAAGATTATTTTCTAAACTTGCATTTTCATTTCCTTGAGAAAAATAATGGTTCCGAAGAACCACAACCATGCTGCTTTTATCTCCAGACCTGAAAAAATGATGATAAATCGGTTTCGGAAATTTTTGTAACTGTAAAGATTTACC